CGGCTCTCGCGAGAACTGACTCCGCCGCGGACAGTCGCCGTCTCGCGAGAACGGACGAGCCCGCCGAACGCGTGGCCCGCAGGTGCTGAGCGCGACGCAAGAGTGGAAACGACAGCCTCGCGGGGATAGATGCCTCGCGAACAGTCCTAGTACGCAGGTGTTCCTGATGGAAAGCTCGCGCGTGACTCTCAGTAGCCAGTAGGAACCTCCAGAATGTACTTGCAGCATTATGAACAGACTCTTTAAAGTCAGTGTGAAAAAATAAGACTTTTCCAAACCCCCAAAAACCACAGGAAAATGGACATAAATAAGAATATTACTCATGAAGAAACATAACCAGCTGATAGCCCATACAAAGATGGACAACCAAATCTCTAGATACAAAAGTGCAAATGGGAACAGAAGACTGTATTTTACCCTCTGCGTACATATATATAGACACATAGATGACTGCATGTTTTGTATATATATGATATGTGTATAGAGGAATGTTAGGGCAAACTGTGACATTTGGAATAAATGTTTTTCAAATATTGGAAATAAATGTCTGCCCACAGATTACATATATCCATACTGTGAGCTGTATACGTCCATTAAAGAAATCAGACCTCCCGACTGTTGACATGGAGAGATTACCCAGGTGTGTTGTTGAGTTAAAAATAAGAGAAGCAGGGCTGGAGAATTTGATGAGGGTGAAGTAGGGAGGGAGGAGAGAGGGAAAGAGCAGAGGAGAGATACCCTTCACTTGTCCCTCATGAGAAATGATGTCACTTTCAGGCCACGCATCAGGCATGGGACCCTCCCGTCTCTCTTGAGAGTGGCTGAACAAGCAATAACTTGCACCTCTTCCACAGGAGCTCCTGAGCATCTACCCTTGCTTAGCAGAACTGTCCCCACCTACCAACTTCAGGGGACATGCAGCAGAGTTATTAATCAAGGCCACTTAGATTTCATGGTCATTGTTCTCATAGCATCAACCAGACTTACAAGAAAACACAAAAACATTTAGAAGTATGGACAAAGTCAACAGTACAATGTGTTTGCTGTAGCATCATTAGCAACATCAATAAACTAAAAATACAGGAAAGGTGGCCCGGGGGTTTAGCTCAGTGGCACTGCGCCTGCCTTGAAAACATAAGGTCCTAAATTCAATCTCAGGTACCAAAATCAATAAATAAAATAATAAAATAAAATAAAATAAAAATACAGGAAAGTGAATGGGTCACCTACAGGGCTCCGGGCCTTCACCAACCTGGACAAGTAAGTCTCCATTTGCTTGTCTATGCTAAGCGATGCACACACGGCACATAGCAAATGTGTGATCTGGGAAATGAGGTACGTTGCTGCCAGTTGTGTTGGAAAGAGTTTGTAGAAGCTGTTGTTGCAACTCCTTAGCTGGCCTGAGCTGTGTGCAGAGGACATTTAGCTGCCCTGAAATATGTTCAGAGGGCCCATAAATTGGATCTCTTGCACTCATCAATCGGCAACACCACCCTCCCCACTGAGGACGTGGAAGCTGAGTCAGAGAGGTGCATTAGGTTGCTCACAGCCACACAGCTGGCAGCTCCCAGCCGCTGCTTCCTCACTGCCCATCCGACCTCGTGCGCCCTGTGCTCCTGGACGCCCATGGCCCGGCACTCAAAGACCCATGGAGCCTCCTTAGTGAGGAGCGGGCCCAGGGCTCTGCTCCCTGAGGCAGAGAAGTGGCAGGAGCTTGGGTCACAGCGAGGGCAGGGCTCGGCACTCTCTGGGTATCTTTCCTCCTCCCAGGCACCAGGCCTCCAGTGTGGGGAGGAGCCCTCGCCCCAGCCTGGCGTGGTGCTCTGAATGCTCATGTCCCCTTAGCAGGGACACTCACCTCCTCTCGGAGTCCTGACAGGACGGTCCTGGGTGGGCCTGGGGGGCTTCAGGTCAGTGCTCACCACCCATGGGTCTTCCTATTGCCCAGCGCCGCCTCCTTCCCCAGCTGCACCCGGGCTGGAGGCGGAGGTGGTGACGGTGTGTGTGTGTGGGGGAAGCGGGCGTCCCACCCTCCTCACGTTCCTACCCACGCACCTTGGAGCCATTCTGAGCATCTCCGTTCCTGGCAGAGATTTGACGGGGCTGGGACTCTTCACTACGAGGAGGAACAGACATCAAGATGTCTCCGCCTCAAGTCCTCCTGTGGGGAGATGTAAAATCTGATGACCCATGCAGGGGGCTTTGCATATGGTCTGCAGTTTGGAAAGTTCCGGAGGAGCAGAGGGTGCTGGCACTGGAAAGATGAAGGCCAGTAGGGCTTCCCCTGCCTCAGTGAATCGTCCACTTATTTCTGGAAGCAACTTCACTGAGCGCCTCATGTGCGCCAGGCCCTGCTGTGAACGGTGCCCTGAGCGGGGCCATGAGGCCCTGTCTTCTGCAGGACCCACTTCCTGCTCTTGGTTCGCTGTGTGCACAGAGGTGGCGGAGGACTGGGTGCAGGGGCTCTGTCTGCTCTGTGAGGGCGACCAGGGCAAGCGCTGGGAAGGAGGCAGCGTGAACGGGGTTTGAAGGGGACTGAGCTGAAGGGCAGGCCAAGGGCGGGCGCGGGGCCCACAGGTGGGGCAGCCTGGGAGGTCACCCGGAGGGGAGCAGGATGCGTCCGGCTCACGTGGTTCGGGGTTCCTGGAACCGAGACCGAGGTGGGACCTTTGGTTCCTAGTGATGAGGTTCAACTCTGTGCTACAGACAGGAGAGACAGCAGGCAAGACTACAGACAGATAGTGAATGTTTAAATGTTTAAAAAAATATTCCTGTGAAAGTGGGAATGGCCTTGAATCCTCCTCAAAATTGTGCTTTCTTTGAACATACCTATCCTATCATTCATGCTAATTTCGGAAGCAGTTCTGAAAGTCCTCTTTTAGGAGAATCTTTAGTAACATGGTCATCGCTTCCTTGATGCCCTGAAATGATTCAAAATGTCTTTCTTTCGTGATTATTTTCACTTCGGGGAGGAGCCAGAAGTTGCACAGTGCCAGAAGGTGAAAAGAATGCTGGGATAAGTGTGCTCCGAGTGAGGGGATATTTTGAGAGGGATTATGGCAGTGTGTCTTTAACTGGAATACATTTTTAAAATTTTAAATATTCACCTTGTATATTAACCACCCGTTGTGTAAGGTCTTTTTAATGTTAAAAAATAAATTTTACTGAAAAGTAATTATGTGCCCACAGAAACTGACAGCAGGAAAAGCCCCCCGTGGTTCTCCATGTCACGATGACTGGCATTAAAATCACATTAATATTAATATTAAATGTTTTTAATGTGAAAATCTGCCTAATTTCAAACCCTTTCCTACAAACACATACACACATTCCACTGGGAAAGTAATATGGAACTACCATGCAATACTGTTTTTTTTGGCACAATATAGAAGCTCATTTTAGAAAACATCATAGGATTTCACTGTGTGTTTGTGTGTGGTTTGGCTATGTTAAATTAGAGCTTTATTCCAATAGCTTTTCATTAAAGCACAAAATATCCCGAACATTTTCACACCCAAATAGTTTCAAGCATCTGAAATCATTTTCTTTGCAAAATTTGCTAATTCTGTTGTTCTCATAAGGTCCATGCATCTTCTGTAGGTTTTCTGTAGGTGGTGCCAAATGGCCCTTCGAAACAGTTTTCCTATAAGTACTGAGATTTACAAAAAGTGTTCCTTTCTTCAGTTTTGAGTGTGTATTTTGAAGCCCATGCCAACATTTCTAGACATATATAAAGTTTTTCTTCCTAAAATTATTATTATTTTTTGGGGGGGTGGTACCGGGGATTGAACTCGGGTCCTTGCGCTTGCAAGGCAGGCCCCAGAACCGCTGAGCTAAATCCCTGGCCCAAAATTATTTTAATAGTAACCACAAAGGCTTTATTTCCTCTTTGTAAAAGTAAGTGTCATTTCTTCCTGAATTATTTCAAATGAAAATTGATTTTAAAATTTGCTCTGGAATTTACAAGTATATCATGCCCCCATGGCAAAAACAGAGGTATAAGTAAATCTTTTAAAAATAACTCAAATATTTCACAATATAGAGGTACTGTAATTTATTAAGTCACTGTATGGTGACATGCAAAATGGTCACTCCTTTTTCCAGTTTGGGCCACTGAATACAATTCTAGAACAAGTATCCTTATCTGACTATTCTTTACAGGCTTTAATTTTCCTGGGAGACGTTTGCAGGAGAGGTCTGGGTTGCGTGCAGACACATTGTAACTTTAGTAGATACTATGAGGTTGCTCTCCAAGACAGAGCCAACAGTTTATGTCACCTCCAGCAATAGATGAGAGTAACACCCACTTTTCAATGCCTCCACGCATTCAGTGTAAAAGTTGTAATTTTCCCAATGATAGAGTGACGACATAACTTCCCAAGTAGCACCAGTGAGGCTTTTTGGTTTCACTGGTCATTTGCACTGTCTCACCTATAAACTGTGTGTGTGTAACTTACCCTCATCTATCTTCACACATACTTCTTAAATAACTTGAAAGCATTTTTCAGAGCTATGGTATTGACCACTTTGGAAAGGTATAACATAAACACTTGGCATAAAATCAAGAAAAGTAGAGACATCCATTCAAAAACTGAACACAACTGTTGCCAATAGGATTCATCCATAGTTCCCCAAATGGAAACAACTCATATATCTGTTAATTGGTTAATGAACAAATAAAACATGTTATAGCCATATAATGGACTATTACTTGGTCAGAAAAAGGAATGAAGTAATAATGCATAATAAAATATGCTGAACTTCAAAAGGTACCACATGAAAGGAGCAAGTCACATTAGACCCCATATTACATTATTCCATCTCCACGGCACACCCAGAACAGGAAAATCTATGGAGATGGAAAATACACTGCTGGTTTCCTAGGTCTGGGTGTGGCAGGTGTAGGTACTGAGAATAACTGCTAATTGTATGTGTTTTACCTTGGGAGAAATTAAAACTTTCAGGAATTAAGTAGTGATAGTAGTGCATGCTTTGTAAGTACAATGAAAAAAACCACTGAATTGTATATGTTTAAAGGATGAAGTTAATAGTGTGTGGATGCTTATCTCAATAGTAAGTAAGCTGTCGCTAACTGTAGGTCACCCCAAAACACAGCTTGGTCATCTGGTCCAGCTCAAGACCACTGTAGGGTTCTCCGGAAAGCTGCCTGCACCTCCCTGTTCCGCAGGCAGTAGATGACCGGGTTGCACATGGGCGTGACCACCGTGTAGACGACTGACAGCACCTTGTTGAGGTCCATGGCTTCGATGCGGCTGGGGCGGGCATAGATGAAGATAGTGACTGAGTAGAAGATGCCCACCACCACCAGGTGGGAGGCGCAGGTGGAGAAGGCCTTGTGTCTGGCGGCGGCTGAGGGCATGCGGAGCACAGCCATGGTGATGGCCACATAGGAGGCCATGGTCATGAGGAAGCAACCACAGAGGATGACGATGGCAGAGATGAAGTCTACCAGCTCCGTGAGGGCCACGTGGGTGCAGGACAGGTTGAGCAGAGGGGAGACGTCGCAGAAGAAATGGTTGAGGACGTTGGGGCCACAGTAGGTCAGGCTGGCGATGCACGTGGTCTTGGCCACAGAGACCACCAGCCCACCCAGCCAGGAGGACGCGGCCAGGCCCAGGCAGACCTGGGGCCGCATGAGCAGCGGGTAGTGCAGTGGGCAGCAGATGGCCACGTAGCGGTCATAGGCCATGGAGGCCAGGAGGATGCACTCTGTCCCAACAAGGTTTATGAAGAAGAAGAGCTGGGTCATGCAGGCCATGAAGGAAATATGGTAGGGCCCAGTCCACAGCCCTGCGAGCAGCGTGGGCATGGTCACCGACACATAGCACATCTCCAGGCCGCTGAGGTTGCCCAGGAAGAAGTACATGGGCTTGCGGAGCTCACCGTGGGTGCAGATGAGGTAGACGATGAGTGTGTTCTCCAGGAGGGTGAGAAGGTAGAGGGCCAGGAAGATGGCAAAGAGGGCGTCCCTGCCGCTCAGCCTGGTGGACAGGCCCAGCAGGACGAACTGCTGCACGCTGGTCAGGTTGGCTGGCTCCAGGGACCTCTGCATCTGTGGACAGATGCAGAACACTGGTGACAATGGCTCGTGTACAAGCACCATACTGTGAATTTGGGAAGATATTCACGTTGCCTTTGTCAGCTCAGCTCTGTTTGACACTGACTATTAAGAGAGAGTGGAGATGCTATAGAGTTTTAAGACAACCTCTGAATATGATGATGCCTATTCTTACTAAATCTGGGAACTTGTGTAGTGAATTTCACCCAATTTAACATGAGAGATGGTGTTTACATCTGTGCAGTGTTATAAGCGAAGCAATGAACACCAAATTGCTATTCCACACAAGCAAAGAGAATTGTTTTCATTTAATTTCTGTGGTAAGTGTATTCCCTCTGTATTATTATTTGTTTTCTTTTCCAACTCTGTGCAGGCATTTAGTGTCTATAAATCCAGAGTAGGACAAACTACTAATCTCTCCTCTTCCAAAAATATTCCTTTTTTGTTAAGGAAATTTTATCCTCCTAATTTTATTATGCTGTGGTCATGAATGTCCTTCAAGAAGGACAAGAAAAAAACTTTCCCTCTGAATCATGGAAGGATTCCCACAAAAGTTTATATGACGTTTTCCTAGTAGGTAATTGGTTGGGAAATCACGGCTGATATCCAATCTTCATGATCATATTTATATACAGGTGCATATTTTTCTCCAAGTGTCATACTTTGGGAAACTGCCACTCACACAGAAAATCAGTGATGCAACATAGGGTGTGGGACCAAATAACAAAAGCTCCCACGGTGCGTGAGCCCATCCATACCGGAAACCTGTTATAAAACCTACTCATTTTCTTTTGCTCTTTTCCAGTGGCCAGACATGAAGTTCAGGCTGGCAAATTCACAGAGGCAGGAGCACGGACCCGGATTCTCCTCCCTGGCCTGACTTTGGTGCTGAGCTCAGTCCACCGTACCTCGTTGTCACTCCTAACACTGGGTCAGCAGGAGCTTTTCCTCCTCTGATTCCGGGGGAGACGAGAGTGGGCAGACAACACGGCGACAGCCAGCGTCCATCCGGAAATGAGGGCTGGAGGCCGCGGCACCAGGGTGACAAGATGCGCCGTGAGCAGAGGGCAGCAGCTGGACCGCTCCGCCGAGGGCCAGCGTCTTTCGATGTCCCGTGGAGCGTGCTCCTCACCTCCCAGCGCTTACCCATCTCCTCCGCCAGGCGACGCCCCAGTTCCTTGCCCCACATCCCACAAACCGAATGCTCCAGCCTCTCAACAGCCTCTCACCACTTTGCACATGGAGGGGAACGGTGCGGCCGGCTCCCACTCCGCGGGACCAGCCTGGGATGACAATGTAAAAACGTCCCTCGTGTCTGTGAGTGCCGGGGCCTGGGACCCGAGAGCCCTCAGTTCAGTCTCCTTCCTGGCGACGAGGGATGGAGTCTCCCTCCTCTTGCTCTCGGGCTCTTTCTCCCCCTCAGTTCTCTCCTAGACCACTAAATCGTGGTCCGGGGTCTTACTTTGTGAGTGCGACACTGAAGCTCAGAGAGTGGACGTGACTCGTCCGGCGCTGTGGCACAAAGGGAGACGGGAACAGGGCAGACTGAGCTGACACCTCCTTTCTCCGTGTTACACGAGTAAGCATTTTCAGTGCGAAGCGAGTAACGATGGCTGGGGAAGCACTGGCGACAAACACGAGGTGTTGCGCTCTTTGCTACGCCAGTGCACTCCATGTTTAGTTTAAATTCTTACAAAGGGCCGGGGATGCAGCTCAGTGGTTCCGCTGCCTGCGTCACAGGTGTAAGGTCCTGAGTTCAATCCCTGGTACACACACAAAAAATTCCCACAGACCTTATGGAAACAGTGTTGTCACTCCTGCCTCGTAGATGAAGAACTAAGTTTAGAGAAGTAAACCTCTTCTCCGGGCGCAGAACCGTGAGAGCCAGAGCCGGGAGGCAAACTAGACTCTCGCTGGGTCCAAGCCTCACATGCCTCCTGCTGCCTTTTCTCTCTCCAGTAGAGAAGTTCCCAGCTCGTGTGTGTAAATACTGACCTGGAAAACTAATGAGCACACGAAGTTTGGCCACATTTCCGTGATCCCAAAGCTTCCCCAGCACGCAGACGTCAGCCACGAGCCTGTGAGCTGGCCTTCGGCTCCTGAGAGGGGCGCCAAGGACAGCACGTGCCTTGTAGCCGTGACCCTTTTCTAGTTACAGAGAATAAGCTTTCTGAGAAGCCAGATCTGGAGACACTGGGAGGTGCTGATCTCAAGGTTGTATGAAAGCCACAGGGTCATGAGCTGACGGAGGCTTTGGTTCGCAGGAGAGCTGTATGCGTTGTTTTAGTTATACACATTGGGAAGGGAACCTGAAGTCCAGAGCTGAGTCCAGCCCCCCATTTCCAGGCCCTTTTCCGATGTGCCTTCCGCCAACCTTCCCTGTTCAGCCCCCACAGACAGGCTGGTCCCGGTACATCTGTCACACAGCCCAGTGGCACGGCTGCCCCACAAGTCCAAGCCACGCAGTCCACACGTTTGTAAAGGTCCAGCTGGCGTCAGGGTGAGTGGGGTGGACCCACCTCCTGTCCCAATCTAGGACTCTTCCCCAGCTTCACACCAGTCCTCGCTGGTGAGAAGGCTGCTTATGCTGGGCAAACATGGCCTTCTCGGGAAACTGGGTGTAGAGATGTGGGGAGGGAGGGAGGGAAGGGGCAGTAGAAAGAATTGAGATGCGTCACATGCATCCACCAACCCCTGCACGCCGTCAGTATGGTCCCTCTGCCCTGCCAACATGTACTGATAAATAAACTTTTTAATTGGTCTTGGCTCTTGGTGGAAACCTTAAACATCTGAGTCTTCACCTGATGAGTTTCCGGCTTTCAGGTAGAGTTGCCCTCAGGGGTCGCACTGTTGCCATGAAACCCTGGTCAAATTTGGGGGACGATGAAGCACTATTTACCTGAGTAAATGTGGGCTTCGCTCCCTTCCCTCCCCTGCTCTGCCTGGGATCTGCTCTCTCCCCTGCTCACCTCCACTCCATCCTCACCTTCTCCGCGAAGCCTTTCCCGGATTCCCCAGCCTGACAGGTGACTCACACACACCGAGATTCCCAGGGTGATCTGCAGAAGGACCGGTAGGTGCAACCTGAAGGATCACATCAGCATCCTGAACCCAAGAAGCAGAATATTTACAGACTAATTCATCCCCAAAGTATCTGTGACTCACAAACTGTCTCCGGCAGTTCCACTGGGTAGAAAGGAGGTGAGTGGTGAAGAAGAACTGGTTTCTACCTCACAGAGGAACTTGGGAGCCTGAGGCTTTCGAGGCTCTGCGTTGAGCAGGCTACCGAGGTCTCCAGGCTTCCATTTTATGTTACTCAGAAACAGGGCCACTCATGCCTTCCTCGGACCGCATCCCTTCTCAGCTGAAGGAGAAGGAGCCCCCTCAGAGGATAAAAGCTTGAGCTCCAGAGATACATAGAACTTGTTTGTCCTAAACAAAGCTCAGGCCTTCTCTCACCTTCGGTAGAGGCTTTAGTAGATTTTGAGGCCTTCATTCTACTCGGTCTCACAGTTTACTAAGTGAGGGTGCGTGCAAAGGAAACAGGGCACTTGGAGCCAGGCACAGCGACGTGAAAGAACCTGTGTTTGACAAGTTGGTGGCAGTGTCAGTCAGTCTCGGAAGGCTGATTGAGCGACTTCAGCCCCCTTGCCTGTTCCGAGACGCAGGACAGATCGACTTCCCTGTAGAATAAGTTCTGTGTAACCGGGCTGCTCTGTGCCAGACCCCTCTCCCTGGAAGGGTGGAACGTCGCGGTTAAAAGCAACAGTCCTGAAGTCAGACAGAAGAGCGCCCCCCTCCCAACTGCATGGCCTTCAGGACGCCACTTGCACTAACTAGGAATCAAAATGAATGCATAATTTGGAGGCACAATTCGAGACTCCCTCTGGTTTTCTGAGGGACCCACAGTGGAGACAATACCTGGGATTCCCGAGTGTGGAAGTCCTGGCTTCACCCACAAACCATCGCATTTGGTCTCCTCGGCTGATGGCACAGGACCTTTCTTCTTGCGCTTCGCCTACAGGAGACTCCGAGGTCCGGGCGGGTTCAGCTTCTGTCCCGGGGAGGAGAGGCCGAGGGACAGAAGAACGATGCGGCTTGGCAGGAGCTGCCTTGGTCCTGACCAGCTCCTCCCAGTTCTTTGTTGGCTCGGGGTCCTCTGGTGGGTTGACCGCCCACACTGGGAAAGGCAGGGAGAAGCGAGCTCGGGCTGAAGCTTGAACCTTAGAGGCCTGGCCTGTTCCCTGTGGGTTTGGAGAAGAGGCGGAGAGGGAGCTTTAGGCGGTGTTCTGCGGAGAATGGAGTCGGAAGGTGTCAGAGGAAGGCTGGCCGGCTGCCAGGCCAATGGGGCTCCGAACGCACTGACCGGTCTCGTCCGTGTGAGGCCTGTCCTCAGAGCAGGGCGTCTGTGTGCAAGCAGGGGACAGCCAGGCTTCAATCAGTGACAGGGACCGCAGGGCTGAGACCCTCTGGGGGAGGCCTCAGTGTAGGCCAGGGGCTAGGAGTGTGCCAGGCACAGACAGCTGTGCCCTGTGGTTCCCAGCAGCATGATTTACAGCAGACAGCCTGGGGAGACAATGGATAAGCCTGATGTGACACACACATGCACACACACACACACACACACGCACACAGTGGAGTACTTACTGTTCAGCCCTAAAGGAAAGAGGCATCTGACACGTGCCAGGTGAGCCACGGGTACATCTCGCCAGTGTGATACCCTTGTCACCTAGGGACAAAGACTGCATTCCTCCCTCCTGTGAGGCTGAGGCAGCTAAACTCAGGGGAGAGCATCTTGGCCACAGCCAATGGCAGGGAGAAGAAGAGAGGCTTCAGGCAGACGGAGTCTCCATCAGGAATGGACGGCACTCTGGGGGAGAGCGGCGTGGGCTGCTCAGCAAAGACTGAAGTCTATGGTGAGGACAAACCTGGTTTTTGTTTCACCACAAGCAAATTGGGTCAGTTCATTAATGTAAAACAGTGCACAGAGGAGAAGGCGCCTGGCCTGAGTCTCCAGCAAAGCACTTAGGTCTGTTTGGCCCATAAGTGTGTGATGATTGCTCGATATCAATTGGACAGGAAGCAAAACTACAACAGAACAGCACTGCCGGGCCATTTTAATGTTTAAAATTAAAACGAATAACAGCAAACATTGGCGATTACGGCGGTGTCTAACTCGGTGCTGATGGGCCCGAGAAGCTGCTCACATAGTGGGAAAGACATGGTGCTCGTTCCTTAGCACATGAAGTGCACACTTACTTTTTGACCCAGTAATGTTCCTCCAAGGTGTTTGCCTGAGAGAAATAAACTAAAATACTGTACCCTAAATGGCCACAGCTTTATTAATAACTGCTGAGAAGTAGAAATAACTCTTGTCCATTAACAGGGGAAGAGACACATTTTTTGTGAGAAATTATAGATCATACATATATGATCTATACAGCCTAAAAATAAGAAGAGTTGAACCATCAATAACACAGCAATATGGGCAAGTGTCCCAGGTGTTGGGGTAATCAAAACTTTACAAAGACCATATGCTTTGGACTCTATTTATATAAGAGCCTAGAAGTAAAAGTAAATGATTCATGGTGAAAACATCAGAACAGTAGCAGCCTGTGACAGAGGAACTGAGAGTAGAGACCTCATGAGATACTTCCGGGATTGAACAAATGTCCCGCATTCCGACGGGGTTGGGTGTGCCAAGTTTTCAAAACTTGAAAAATTGAGCCTCTAAGATTGTTTGCATTTTAAGATATGTTAACTTTACAGAAGAAGCGATGAAAACAGACAATGAGCTCCACTTAATAGCTTTTCAAAGTGATATGGGTTTAAAATACTTTAGTTAGCATCTGGGTATTTGAAACCTCAGCAAATAAATACATTGCAGATAAAGTAAGAGGAATTATAGTTGAAAGAGGGAAAATTAGATTGTCCTCATAGTACTGAGAAGAACTGGTAGGAAGTGTGCAAACCACGTATGTGATCGTGATTCTGATTGTGTGCAAGAACACGACTGTGTGTATGCATGTGGTATGCACAAGCACGTACCTTCAAGTGCACAGACACGTCTGTGTGTGCCCTCGTGTGCCCTTGGGCACTGCCTAGTGCTGTCCTCTGGGAGCCAGAGGGACAGTGGCCACCCAGGAGTAATGAGCACAGGAAGTGCCTGGTCCCGGCTCCTAGGAGAGGGAATTCCAACACCGTGTGTGTGCAAGACGTCACCGCCACAGTGGGTTCTTCAGAAACAGAAAGGGTCTGACGGACTGCGAGGAGCAGCTGGTGCCAACAAATATGGAAACATATAACCTATCCAGACTGAATCAAGCAGAAATGGAAGTAGTACTTTTATTTTATTTTATTTTATTTGGTACTGGGGATTGAACTCGGTCCTTGCGCTTGTGAGGCAGGTGGTGGAACCACTGAGCTAAATCCCCGGCTGGAAGCGTAGTTTTAAAAATGTCAATGAAGCAAAGCCTAGGACTGGGTGGCATCATGACAGAATTTTACGGAACATTCAAAGGATAATCAATACCAAGGCTTCTTTAACAGCTACCAAGAAAAAGAAGCAGAAGGAACACTTCCACGCCCATTCTGTGAGGCTGGTCTCACCCTGGTAGCCAAAGGAGGAGGGAGGAGAGAGACAGAGGGAGGGAGAGAGAGAGTGAGAGGGAGAAAGAAAGGGCAGACGATGAAGAGCAGGAGGAGGGAGAGGACGGGAGGAGACGGCAGTGGAGGGAGAAGAAAAGGGGAGGAAACCATGGCCAGCATCGCTGATGAACATGTTTGCAAAAATCCTCAGGAAAATCCAGGCATGTATCAAAAGGGTCACGCCCCATGAGCAAGAGGGATTTGTCCCTGGGAGCAAGTTTGTTTTAATATCTTCAAATCAACACAATACACACACATTAATAAAGATAAAAATCACACAATCATCGTGATAAGCATAGAAGGAAAGTTCCTCAACTGTTGTTTATGAAAAACCCATGGCTGACATCATAATCGATGGGGGAAAACCAAACCCGCTTCCTCTGCAGTCTGGTACAATGCAAGGGTGTCCACTCGAGCTGCTTCCCTTCAGCATAGAGGTGGGAGTGTGAGCAAGAGGAATCAGATGATAAAAGAGACAGAGCACCCACGTTTGAAAGAAAGAGGTAAAATTATCTCTGCTTGCTTGTGACATGATGCTATACATGGAACATTCTGAAAATTCCACCAGTACTGTTAGAACTAACAAATGAATTCCCTAATTCCACAAAGAAAAAAAAACTGATGTTAAAAACCAGTTTCATTTCTTTACATCAATGGTGATCTACCCACCAAAAAGAAATCAAGAAAACCATCCCTCTTAAAATAGTGTCAAAGAACAAAGTAATTAGGAATTAATTCAATTCAGGTGCAAGATCTGTATGATTAAAAAATATAAACTCTGATGCAATAAACTGAAGAAGACATGAATAAATGAAAAGATAACCTGTGATTTTGACTTAAAAGAAATAATATTGTTAGAATGTCTGTATTGCTCAGTGATCTACAGATTTGATACAATTCTGATTATACATTTTTCACAGAAATAGGGAAAACAATTCTAAAAATCGATAAACAGCGAATGCTAAAAATTCATGGCTGAAAAAGGATCATGAAGATCCAAAACAATCTTAAGAGAGACTACAGAGAGCAGAGAGATTACACCTCCTGATTTCAAATTGTATTTCAGAGGTACAGTGAGAAAAACAGTGTGGTATTGGCATTGAAAACAGGCATGGAGGCCGATGGAACAGAAAGGGCCCTAAACCAGTCCAGGCATTGGCAGTGAACATATTTTTGACAAGGACAGCAAGAAGACACAATGGGGAAAGCAGTCTGTTCAACACATGGCACTGGGGAAAGTGGATACCCACACACAGAGTGAAACTGGGCTCTTCTCTCGCACAATACTAAAGTCGGTTCAAGAAGAACTAAAGACCCAAACACCACACGAAACAAACCTCTTACGATAGGACATAGGACAAAAGTTTCTTGACATTGGCCTTGGCAGCCGTTTATTTTTTGGATATCATTTTATAAACTTAGACAACGTAAGTGGAGAATGACCACTAGAGAATACACCAACTCAAAAATCTCCTGCTCAGCAACGGAAACAGAACAAGATGAAAAAGCATCCCGCGGATCGAACTGCATACCTGGTTAGAAGTTAGTATGCGAAATACATAGGTCATGCAAAAACCAACGTAAAATTTACAAAAAGCAGATTAAAACGGGGAGAGGAACCCCGTAGACTGTTTTCCAAAGAAAACATATCAACAGGTATCAGAGACAGTGTCCGATGTCACAGTCATCAGGGAAATTTAATTCACAGCCACAGTTGTTTGTGACCTCACCCTTAGGGTTGCTGCTATCAAAACAAATAGGAAATCACTGTGGGCTGCGGCAGGGAGGAATGGGCCCTTCACACCGTGAGTGGGGAGACAAACGGCGCAGCCATTGTAGAAAACAGAATACAGGCTCTTTGAACAACTACAAAGTTTCCATCTGACCCACCCACGCCCCTGACCGGGACTTTTCCAAGGGAAGGGAGTCGGAGTGGTACGAGGACATCGCCCCAGCTGCGGTGGTGGCAGCTCCGCCCACAGGACCGGGTCGAGGAGCAACTTGTATCCATCGCCTGCAACAGGGAAAGAAAGACTTGTGTGATCGTAACCAGAATATCTACCGGAATGGTAATCGATCACAAGAAGAAAGAAATCCCGAATTTTGTGAAAATACAGTGCATGTGGAAGTTACTGTGCTTAGTGAAATATCCCAGACAGGAAAGGAAAGCACGGCGTTACCTCACTCGTAGGCGGAAGCTAAAAGGGTGTGGAACGGTGACGCCAGGTGCACGGTGCAGGGCCAGGGGCGAGAGGCTGGGCAAGGGGCAAACTCGGGCCACTGTGGGATGAATCCGTGCTGGGGCCAATGAACATCCGGGCTCTAGTGACACCGTATCCTGTGCCTGAAGCCTGATCTGAGCAGGAACCCTCAGAAACTGTCAGAAACTGAGGGCAGGGACGGAGGCGGGCTTCCACGTGGAAATGACCTCACACCGAGTGGACAATGACCACACTTGTGCTCTGAACATACACATCTTTTGTTTGCCAAGTGTGGCTTCATAAAGGTGAAAACAGTTAACAGAGTGGAACGCCAAAACATTTCATACTGTACTTCACTGCATCTTTATTTGATATATATGGCTTGAGTAAGTTCCCGAGACATAACAGAAAAGTATTTTTACTTAAGAGTGCAATGTTTACCTCAGAATTGATGCAATAAATATTTCTCAGCCGCCTTGAACATGTAGCTCGTTTCTGCTATTTTGTGTTACAGGTAGTGAAGCACTGGCCGCTCACACACACATGTCCACCTGTGTTTGTGAGGACGTGAAGACATGCTTTGAAAACATCTATCAGCCTTCCGGGGATAGAAACAGTGGGACTGTTAAATTCGTATTTCTTGGCATTTTTCAAAGTGGATTAGCAGCCACTTACACTTCATCTTTGCTGCTTGGTTTTCCACAGACTGATTATTTCAGGAAGTTCAGGTTTTGTAATTAAGAGATCAGAGCATTTCCTGTGGCTTTTACTTTGCTTTCCCAGGTTCCTTTTGGCGCCTGTGGCCATGTAAGGCTGGGGTCAGGCAGGACAAAGTCCAGCAGGGCCAGGCTCAGGACCAGCGCAGTGCCTTCCGCAGGGCCGCGTGCACCTCCCTGTTCCTCAGGCAGTAGATGACCGGGTTGCACAGGGGCGTGACCACCGTGTAGACGACCGACAGCACCTTGTTGAGGTCCATGGACTTGATACGGCTGGGCCGGCAGTAGATGAAGAGAGCTGCGGAGTAGAAGATGCCCACCACCGCCAGGTGGGAGGCGCAGGTGGAGAAGGCCTTGTGCCTGGCGGCGGCTGAGGGCATGCGGAGCACAGCCATGGCGATGGCCACATAGGAGGCCAAGGCCACCAGGAGTGTCCCCCAGAAGATGACGATGGCGGAGATGAAGTCTACCAGCTCCGTGAGGGCCACATGGGTGCAGGACAGGTTGAGCAGAGGGGAGACGTCGCAGAAGAACTGATTGAGGATGTTGGGGCCACAGGAGCAGGCTGGCGTTGTCCCCCAGAAGATGACGATGGCGGAGATGAAGTCTACCAGCTCCGTGAGGGCCACATGGGTGCAGGACAGGTTGAGCAGAGGGGAGACGTCGCAGAAGAACTGATTGAGGATGTTGGGGCCACAGTAGGTCAGGCTGGCGATGCACGTGGTCTTGGCCACAGAGACCACCAGCCCACCCAGCCAGGAGGACGTGGCCAGGCCCAGGCAGACCTGGGGCCGCATGAGCAGCGGGTAGTGCAGTGGGCGGCAGATGGCCACGCAGCGGTCATAGGCCATGGAGGCCAGGAGGGTGCACTCTGTGCAGATGAGGGAGATGAAGAAGAAGAGCTGGGTCATGCAGGCTGCAAAAGGAACATAGAAGGGCCCAGTCCACAGCCCTGCGAGCAGCGTGGGCATGGTCACCGACACATAGCACATCTCCAGGCCGCTGAGGTTGCCCAGGAAGAAGTACATGGGCTTGCGGAGCTCACCATGGGTGCATATGAGGTAGACGATGAGTGTGTTCTCCAGGAGGGTGAGCAGGTAGAGGGCCAGGAAGACGGCAAAGAGGGTGTCCCTGCCGCTCAGCCTGGTGGACAGGCCCAGCAGGACGAACTGCTGCACGCTGGTCAGGTTGGCCGGCTCCAGGGACCTCTGCATCTGTGGGCAGACGCAGAACACTGGCGATGTGTGTCCTAGGAGGCACAGTACTAACAAGTAATTAAAGGCTGCTCATGGTCCACAGACTCTGCTGACTTTTCCATCTCAGCTCGTCCTGGAAATGGGCTGTGGAGAGAGACAGGGGGTCCTTCGAGCTCAGGGACAAATGGAACTCCATCCGTGACCTGGGCATGCCTGTCACTCTTCTTGCTTAAGTTGTGACCTAAAGAAAGAATTTGACCTTCTGAGAATGGAGGGAATAATATTTGCTTTTCCTGAAGCTAAATGAAGACATGGGTGGACATTTCCCATGCTAAATAAGAGATTAGGACTATTTTCCTGTCAGTTTTTTGACAAGCTTTCATTGTAGATTGTTTCCCTTCTTTTAATACTTCCCCCACCAAATTAGGAGCATTAGCCATTGTAAACCGGATCTCCAACTCTTCTGCTCTAGAAACAGTCTGCTGCTCTTGATGTGATTCTGTTTTCTATATGTGCATTATGGTACCCTGGGTCGTGACTGATCCTATTCAAGAAAGACAGAAGGTCATTTTTGTCTGTGAATAACCCTGATATTCCTACCAAAATCAAGAGCATCCAGAAGTTTGGAAATGCCACCTCTGTGCCCAGTCTGTATGACCCTGAGCACACAGCCCTGTCACCTGCATGCCGTCACACTTGGGGAATGCTGATGCCCGGGAGGGTACTGATGATGCCAACTGTGGCCCTCGCTCCGATCACGGAAACTCCCGAGCTTCCCTGAGGCCCCGCTCCATGCTGGGGTCTCCGCTTACACCTTAGTTGTGTCCTTCGGTTCTGTTCCATGGGAGGTGTGGGGCTTGGAGAGGACCAAGACCGCAGGAGCCGGGGACACAGTGGGGGAGCAAATGAGAGTCCCCGAAGCTTGCGGTGTCACCCACAGGACCCACTCTATGACCCTTACTGAGCTCCCATCCCGCGCAAGGCACCAAGACTCTGCAGCAGACGCTGGCCCGGCAGCAAGAAGACTGCGTGCGGGGAGCAGGTGCGCACGGGTTGTCTTGGGGGGAGGGGGAGGGGTCAGAGCCCGGCAGGGTTGCCACGTGGTCCTGGACGGTCGGGGAGCAGCACGTGGCCGGAGCCCTGCCCTGGGAACGGGAGGGCGGGCACTGCGGCCCTGCCCCTGCAGGGGAAGCTGTCCTCAGGGAAACCCGCTCCCTCTTCTCCCGCGCCCCTTGCACTTGGATGTGGGGGACTTGAACAGCCCCCTTCTCCAGGTGAAGCTCCGCTGATTCCTCCCGTCCTTCTTGGTGGACAAAGCCGTCCACACCCTCCTCCCAGAAGGATCGCTGCTTGGCACATCCAGGGAAAGTGTCCAGAGCCGAAGCTCCTTCTGGACTCTCTCTCCTGAACCAGGTCCGGTGGATGCAGATTCTCAGCCACCACACGGCAGCCCAAGGCGCCTGGACAAGCGGACCCTCCGCCAGCCCTCCAGTCAAGCTTCATACATGAATACAGCGGTCAGGCTGAACTCGTCTGTCTTTCTGTCCCTGCCTCCGTCTTTCCCCCTCTTTCTCTACCCCCACCCTGCCCCCTCCTGTCTCTTAATGGGCATTTTCCATAGAGCGCTTGGTGTACAGGGCAGCAGTTTCAGGTAAATCTCCCTCGTCCCTGGGATGTGGGTGGACACCCCGGGGCTGCTCCCCGCGGACTTCCTCACATATGGGTGATGGGTCATGGCCACCACTAGATGGGCTTCCCGCACCGACTGCTTTCGCTGATGATTCACCACACAACAAAGCCCACACGTCCGAGAGCCGGCCTGCTCTCTTCAGCAGAGGCAGGGGAGCTCCTGGGAAGGAGGTTTAGTGCAGCAGGTCCCCGCCGGGACCGATGTGTCAGGAGGGCCAGGTCCAGCTTGCCCTCTCCTCCTCAGAGTCCTCACAGCCCCTGAAGCACAACCACATTCTGAGAAAGAGAAATGAGCCGGTGTTAGGATTGTGCCAGGACAAACGCTTGACGACAAAGACAACAGCACAGCTGGTATTGCGGGCATGTTCCTGGACTCGGGGGAAACACGGCGAGGGTCTCACACTGCTCTCGCACACGCCCACCCCCGGGGCCTCTCTCTAGTATTTACTGGGCACTGATTGCCTGCCTGTCCCCGAGCTAAGAGTGCCCACAGGTGACCTCACTAATTCTCCACACAGCCCCCGGGAGGAAGGACGCAGTGCCATACGGCAACGGGGATGGGTCTGCTCCAGGGAGTGTCACGTCTGCTGCTGGAATAGTTGGTTAAACCAACGCCAAAGTCTGCACAATTCCAGAAGTTTAGGTGGTGGAGGGGGCCTGGCTACTGGGGTTCTCCCCAGGGAGGAACATGGCCATCAGAAGCGACTCGGGATGGGAACAGGGGCCCGAGAGGAGAGGACTGTGAGGCCCGGGGAAGCGGCACTGTGGGGGGACTGGAGGGGGCAGAGCCCGGCGTGAAGAGGAAAGGGCGGGTGCCATGAGTCCTGCGTCTACACCACGGGCTTCCAGAACAACAGCAGGGAAGGGCAAGGATGAGGTGATTTCCGGAGCCAGCTCCGCAGAGCCAGGGGACATTAAGATCTCCGCAGACTCTCTGCAAAGCAGTGCCTGTGAGCTGCAGGGTCTCCTACGCCCCTCCGGGGCTTTTACCGACAGCACACCAGGTTTTATACACGATTCGACCCAGCTCTCGCGGGAACTGTGTTAAAATCTTATCTTCCCATTCCACAGGGAAGGTGGCGGAGGGTCAGAGAGTAGAGGCGACCGTCCAACGTCGGGACGCGTGTGGGAAGGAGGAGCACAGACGCATTCTTACCGCGATACACAGGTCCCCAGAACCGCAACCCGCAGCCCAGCAGCTGGCGGCCCTGGCGGAGTGG